CTAGCCTTGAGACCACTGGAGCCAAACACTATGGGTGACGTCACACTCCCTTAGTCCACTTCTTCACACAGTCTATGGTCATTCCCCAGTCCTTATATAATTTCCAGAACATGATGTAGCTTTAGACTGAGCATCTAGAGGCCGTCAGCTCTTTAGTGAAGTGTTGGTAATATTTGGAGGTGCTTATGAGCCAGAAGAGCAGCAGTGTTCCGCAGCTGTCGCCTGCTCTGGAGCGTCTGGATGGATTTACAGTTGGAGGTTTTGTCCCAGTGAGAGAGTGATAAGTCTCTGCTCCAGCCTGCTTCAGAGTGGGGGACATTCTCCATAGTTTATACAGACCATAAACATCTGTGCTCAAAGGCTGAGTGAGGAGAAAGGACTTCTGGAGAGGTCTGACTTCTCTCTTCACAACATTTTTATGGAGGTACTTTCGTTTTTTTCGATTGGCAGATTATCACTGGTGTACTGGGGCCTCTGCACCTGGCTCTAGGCCCTTTACTGTGCGCTGTGTAGCTCCAAGTCACCATTCCTGTGTTGTCGAAGGAGGGTTACTTATGAAAGACAGACTACCTCAGTATGGTGAAGTAAAAAGTAGAGGTCTATTTAAACATTTGGATTTGTTGTAAAAGAAAGCATGGAGCTCAACAGTGACCACCATTCAGTTCCAGAAGTAATTTTTCTCATAGGCTTTCTAAAAAGTTTAAAAGCTTGCTATGGGCTAAACAGCGATACGGCAACTAATGACCACAAGACCTATGATTTTAACTTTGTAAACCACAAAGTTTTAAAAACATTTAGCTAAGTTTTAAGTAATAAATGTGTTTTTTTACTGAATACACCCACGTTATGGACATTAGTTTCCACATAGTCAATTAGTCTCCATTGTGCAGGCTATAAACTTACTATAAAATTTACTTCCAGAACCTTGATGGGCATCGAAGTGGACAACACTATTGAGCTTCATAATGTACAGGAGCTAATGTGACAGTGCCGTCAGATAAGTAGATTAGTTTGGAAGTTGTCATGGGATAAATGGGAATAAGCTCTATCATTTAACCCCACACAAGGTGACACTACTCTGCCTTTAGAGCTCAACCCACATTAGCACCTCTCTTTTCTAAAGTCAGTGATTGAGTATGTATAAGGTCAGGCTCTCTCAAATGGTGGTACTATGTAAGTGGTACTCAGGGAGTGTTTGAGATGTGACACTCAGTAAATCACTTTGGTGTCTACTCTGACCTGCTTAGTCCTTCTTTAAACTGTTCTTATGCTGTCAGTGAAAGCTAGTGCTGTTGTGATTGGGATGACCAAAATAGGGTTAAATGTTAAAAGTTCCAAAACCTATCTAAGATCTGTATGAATGAATTTATTTATAGAAACCAAAAGCAACTACTACCCCATTAAGCATACAGGAGACAGTTGTAATAGCCTACTAATTCACTTCCATCTACATTCTTGACATCGGAATGAATTTACTCCCACTCTTTGGTGGCATTTTGCCCAAAAATCTGGGACTTGGGATCCAAAGTTTGTTGACAGAGTCCACATGTTTAAAGCAACAGTATCATATAGCCCAAGAGAATAAACAGCAGAGGCCCAGGAGAGGTCTGTCACTGTGTCCAGCAAGCCCTAAAAGGTCTCAGTTATGTGGGCCGAGTCGCAGTATCTCCCAAAGAGCTGCCAGTCATAAAGAGCACAGAAACGAAAGTAGTTTGTAAACGTTATGCAATCTATCAGAGTCTGAACAGATGTGAGAGAGGAGAGAGAGGAGAGAAAGGAGAGGGAGGAGAGAGAGGAGAGGGAACACTGGCCAGTCCCCCGCGGTGCTGTCAGATTAACAAGACTAGTTTGTTTTCTGGAGGAGGAAAAGGCCATCCAAATAAATAGGCCGTACAGACTGGAGTTCTGATGTGTCTGTCTCTCTCCCCGCCTTTCTCTCACTCGCTTTCTCTCGTTCTCTCGCTCTCTATCCCCTCTGTTGTCTGTGTATGTAATGTAAATACTTGAGTTCATTTTTGTGTAAATACCATGGGGTGTGGATGAAACTGAAAGCAAATAAATGCAATAAAGGTCTGTTATAATCAAAAGCTAAATCTCTCTCTCTCTCTCTCTCTCTCTTTCTCTCTCTCTCTCTCTCTTTCTCTCTCTTAAGCTTTCTCTGCGGGCTGGTTTGAGGTTTTCTCAGTTGCGCTGCCTGTTTGCCTGTCTGGGTCAGCCAACATGTGGCCCACAGTAGGAAAAGGGTTAACATCATCTTCCTTCTTCCTCCTTCTCTTCCTCTGCTGCCTTCTTGCGCTTCAGCTCCTCCAGGGCAGCAAAATTAATCACAATTGAATCTAAATTGCAATTTGAATGGACTCACTTATAGTAAATCGCAAAGGCTGCAGTTTTTTAAGAACCATCATTTTTTCCACAAACAACAACAAAATATCCCATCTTATTTTCCCATCTCATCTTATAAAAACTGCTGTATCTTAGATCTTTACAAACATCTTCTGACATGTTCTTGTGATTCTTGTAGTCATTATTTTTGTCAATTCTTCTGGACGTGTATAAAATGTGCACTGCAGTCCTAACATAAATCATAAATGTAATTGCAATTGTAAAGATTGTCAGAGAAATCTCAATTTCTAATAAATATTTTTCCCAAATTGTTGAGCTGTCCTCCTCCTCTTCATCTCCTCACTTCTCCTCATTCCTCACATGGGGCTTTGATGGTGCGGTGCCTTGTGTGCTTACACTCGGTGTGTGGAATTATTTTTGTATGGGGAGCTGCGTTTGATTGCAGAGCAGGGACCCAGCCCTCATACAATGGCTCCCCTGTTCTGGGGCCCCTGGTTTCTAAACTCGACCCAGAGCCTTGGGGGTGCATGGAGAAGGTAATGTGGGGAGGGAGGGGGGTGTTTGGAGCGCCCCCTTCTCCCTGGGCCACCCCCTAAAAAAACAGACCCCTAGTCTGTCACCGTTGGCCCCTCACCCCCATCACCTGCACGCCATTTTCACCTACTACACACTTTAGTAGTATTTCAAAGCATTTCAAAAAATGTTCTTACAAATGAGGAAATGTAAATTATCCCCCCAGTAAAGTGAATTGTAAAACCAGAACTTTGTTACAAAAAGCAGACCACTGGTGTCTTCACGTAATCAGAAAACATTTAGTTTATTTCCATGTGAGTCATTATATGACACTTTCAGATAGAGGCTGATGGGCTTTGTAAGAGTGCTCCATCCTGCTTCACTTCTCCTCAAATGGTTATTCTTAAGCTGTGGTTGTGGCCAAAAAAATAATAATGTATGTGAATACTATAGTGATGTGCCAAAGGGTTTGTGAGAGCCAGGAACAAGATTTAAACTTCCACTTCATTTCATGATTTGAAACTCAGGTATATTTTATGTATATTGTGTAGCATATTTATCAGTATTGTCTTCTAGGGTTATATTGCTTATTGCTTACATATAGAGGTTTCATACTCAATACAATACTGAATGACCAGAAGAATGGTGGACATCCAGAAGCTGTACAAGTTTATAGTGTATAGAAAGTTAAACCACAGCATTTTAATATGAATGAGACAACCTCATCATTCAGGATTATTCAAACATATGAATGAAAGTGCAAGCAACATAATTCATAACATGTATATATCCAAAAGTTAATTTTTTTGTGCAATAGGAATGTACAGTAAAACCAAGATGATGCTCTTACATCGTCAGATACATTTCTTACACTGGCATCACTTCCCTGTAGCCCTGTGAGTGTTAAAGCTGCTCTCCTGGTGTGTAGTAGCAGTGGGTCTTGTGTTTAAAGCTGCTCTCCTGGTGTATAGTAGCAGCGAGCCTTGTGTTTTCTCTGTGCATTTTTGGGTCTGTTTTTCCACTCACTGATTTATGCCTGGGGGCAGCTAAAATTAAGAGAGCATTTTGGTGCCGCCCAGGGTGCCTGTGTAAGTGCAGGAATGCAGCGTCGAGTTCTGCTCCATAAGGTGAAATGAATAGCCGCCATATGCACGCTCCCACTTTTGGACTTTATTATTCACCAGTTTGGGTCGGGTTCTGAACATTGACAGCCTCGAGTGTTTCCAGTCTGGCCTCTGGATCGGGCTCTTGGAAGCACAGTTGTGAAATGAATTATTTTCCTTTCGCTCAAGACAAAACAGTAACACAATTCAAGAAAAATGAAAAGGAGTTTGTTCAGGTTTGGTTAATTGAGCTTGTGCCATCTGCTGCCATCTACTGGAGGCCATGCCAAGTACTAAAGATACTGTTGTATTGTTCCGCATGGTTGTATTCAGTGTATGTACGCTTTTTTATAAACAACCTGTGTCTTTGGGTGTAAACTAAACCTTTTCAAATCTCATAATGATTTTTAATTTCTTCACAACTGCCAAAAACAACTTACAAGAAGTAATAGTTATTTGAGTTTTCAATTTTGTGGTTTTGTTCTCAAGCCAGTTAGCCAATTAGAAAGCAGAATACAGACTTTATGCTGCCAGATGCTATACCAATACAGTAATTTGGATTATCATTATTAGTTGAGAATGTATTGCCTTGTTGACACCAGTTGCATGCCGATATTACCTTTAAAGCACTGTGTAACTTTTCTAGTGGAGGTTCCATCACCTGAAAATGTTGCCTTTTGCCACTTATTTATCTCTATGGAGACAGTAGACCATGCTATAGGGCCAAGTTACATGTCAGATCTGTGGCGAGGCAAGACTGCACGTTTTTAAATCAGTAAAAACCCATGTTATTTAGTGAATGCAAGATGGATACATTTAATGCCATACCAGGACATTCCAGACAAAGCAACATCTCCATGGAGACAAGCAGTTCACAGTGCACCTTGAAGTAGTGGTTTAAATGGAATCAAATCTTTAAAATAAAGTAAATAAGCATGGGGAAGACACAGTGTCAATTATACTATATGGGTTTTTAATGTTATAAATATCTGTCTGTTGTTTTCATACATTTCTGATTATGATTATTTTGTGTCATTACAGGTAGCTCATCATTATCCTATAACACACCATCTCACACTGATCCTTCCCCACGCCTCGCTCCCAAAGACGGTAAGAAAAAAAACTTTTAATTTTTACTGTTTAGAACCTGGAACCTGTGAAACTACATAAATAGAAAGTAGATGAGTAGGTGAAGATCTGTCATTACAAACGCCCTAAATTATGCATCACAGCTTCCAAATAAGCATTTACACAGAGAAACACAGAGAGCAGTCAAACACAGCCCTCAACACAAACACAAAGCAGCAGTGGATGGTAGACAGGTGCATTGTGGGTCGATGATCAGATATTTGGCCATTTGACACAAGATTTCAGCTCACAGCTTTGCCTCAGAATGGGCCTTGATAACAACACAAAAGAGTGGTGAGCATGTCTGTCTGCAGTTACATGGAAAACACCCTGATGGGGAGATTGTGGGGTAAAACTGAATAATGTTGTGATTTTGATTGTTGCAGTAAAGAGCTGGGGCAGGTGCATAGGACTATCTCTAGAGATCACTGATATTGTTATGTCTCACAACTTAGATGTAGTGAAAACTTGTTAATTGTTAAAGGTCCTATATTATGCTTTAAGTCATGAATGGCTGAATGCTGGTACCTCCTCAAAAACATGCATGTTCACACACTGTTCACACATATTTGAGTATCCCTTTATTATTCATTCATCTCCAAGCTCAAAATGTTCTGTTGCACCTTGTGATGTCATGTAGTGATAGTTTTCAAGTTAACAGCCTCTTTTTACTTTTAATTCAGTAGATATTGGCGATTCCAGTGTTGAAATTATCTAAATGGTTCTAAAGAAGGCATATGCAGTCTAAAAACACACTGGAGTACTTTCTGTATTACCACATGACATCACAAGGTGGAACAGAGTGTCTCCTGTTTGAAGAAAATATGCAGGGTTGTGTGTTAAACGTATGAACAAAACAGAACTTGAGGTATGTTTGAGATGAGAAAATATTATAACATAGATCAGAAAATAGCTTAATACATGATATTATAGTTTTAATACAATTCATTTTGCTTTTAAATGTTGAGTTATTCAGGTGCGTTTTTATCACATTTTCCCTACTGGTTACAGGAATTATAGGAAACATGTCACATTTCACATGGTTACTGGGCTGTGTCCTCATGAACAGTGGTTTTATAATAAACTTAAATGTCCCATTTGGCATTTAGAGAACTGTGAGTGCTTACATGCATATACATTCATGCATAAATGTCTGCAAATGTGTGAATGTGCACCACAATTGTTTATGATTGCACCAAAAAGAGAAAGATAAAAATAAGAAAGACAAGAAAACATATAAGCTTTTTCAGTAATGAGCTGTTTTAGATTGTTATTGATCCACAAGGAAATGATTTGCACATAGCGCACACATCTCAGTATATTATAACTCAAACCAAAATATAAATAGCAATAATAAATTCAAAACAAGTAGCAAAAATAGCAAGAGACTGGTGTCAAATAAGGCATGAATATATAAAGGCTATGGATGTAACAGTAACTGAAATATCGTGATACCATATTGTCAACAGTCTCACAATAATACCATGGGCTATTACAATATATCGAATCACATGTTTCTTTGCTTAAATGCATGGTTTTATAGTAGCAGCATCTTATAAACATAGGAAACTACATATCCCATGATTCATTTCAGTACAGAAAACATGAAGAGACACCAAAATCTTGTCAAGGTATTTTAAAAGCAAAAAAGTGTCCTATCTACATTTATATTAGCCTCTTTAGAATATCGCAATAAATATCGTACCGTGAGATGCATATCGTGATAATATGGATATCATTACATAATTATTTTACAACATACCATTCTCATATTTTGACCATTTTCTGTGGGAGTTGTTTGAAAATATCACTCTCCCCTCTCGTGCCTCTCTATGTCGATACTGCTCTTACTGTTCAACCCATGCACACTCCAACTTCATTACAGCCACTTTTGAATGACTATCTCTTTCCTCGTTACCTTTCACTCCAAAAACATTATTTTGTGCTGACACCACACCAGCTAGTCCTTGGCTGCCCTGCCTATCTGTGAAACCAAATACACATCCTTTACATTGGCTATAAGGTGTCAGCACAGCAGCCTGGAGAAGGAGCTGCAAAAACAATGATAGCCTCGCACACAGGATGAGAGCTGCTATCGAGGCGAGAGGAGAGGAAATAGTGAGCGTGATAAGTGTCTGAAACTGCCCTCTGGCCCTGTCTATCTGCCCCACTCTCTCTCTCTCTTGCCCCGCTACAATACCAATAGTCTAATGGGCAGCAAAGATAAGATTCTGCTCGGTCACCCCTCGACCCGCTCTTCCTGGTTCTCAGCAGCAGGTATTTGCACTGGCAGAGAGAGAGGGTCACTCCCTGCTGTAGTATTTCCTTTTGCTCAAATGGGGATTTCTATTATACTACTCTGCACTTGTGACCAGGGAAGGGCCCAAATGTCATTCATTGTAATGCCATTCATATTTCATTTTCATTTCATTCAGCGTCCTTATGTTGTTTTTCTTATTGAACTATATTGAGAATGCATGTTGAAAGAATTTATTTTAGTACTACAGTTTTATAGGCAGTGACATAAAGTAGCAGTAATAGTCTTAATGAAAAGTAGAAGTAAAAGTACGTTATAAGGTTATTTTTTCAGACCAATGGTTTGTTTTCATACCTGACAGTTTTGACTGCTCACTTGCGGTCTTCCTCAGAGTGGTCACATGATGTTGTTGTGACGTGTCAGGTCAGCTGATTTATACAGCTTTTGGTGCTGTCTTCCTAATAACATAAATTATCTGAAGACCAAATGAACCTCATTGGACTAGAAGTAAAAGTAGTACAAGGAGTGGTAAAACAAGTGGAAGATATACTCTTAATTTGAATTAATTTTAATTATTTTGTTGTGGAACTGACACTTTTTTTCTTTAGACAAAAAAAAATTGTCAAAAAGGGTTACATATACACCTCTTCATTAAAAAGTACATATACATAATTTTGATCTTAATTAATAGTGCTTTAATTTTGTGGCTTATTGGCTATATACAGGCTTAGGTATAGAGACCTGGTATGGGTCGCCCTATCAGTTCATTTCATGGCTTTATTAAAATGTTTAAAACCATTTCTTTTCCACCAAAGTCTAATATTCACTGACGTTAGATTGTACAAATGTTTTTTCCCCAAGTTAAATTATGAACCTGACAAAGATACAGAATTGGCTTTTCCATTAAGAAGTCTTGCTTGAGGAGAGCAGATCAGCGTTGCCAGATGTTCAATTTCATTTTGCCCCTTGAGAACAGTACGGTCAAATACCATACAGGCTGTTTGGGGTAGAGTAAGCATGAGCGTACAGCAGGAGACAACCCTTAATCTGCTCCAGACCAACTGGTGTAAAATGCAATGTTATGAATAAAAGAGAGCATATAAAACATGGAATGCAGCCGTGATGGGCCGGTGTAGTGTCCATCGGCTTCTGATCTCAGCCTGCATAGCTGGCTGCAGTTTAAAATACTAGTGTGGTAAAATATAGGACTGTTTTTTTAAAGCCTGAGAAAGATTTGCACTTTGTATTACTTTTTCACTTTGAATTGAATTTGTATGCACATTTTTCTATATAAATAAACTTGGCTTGCCATGTACTTGGAGCTAAGACCTCTGTCAAAGCACTGGTGTAGAGACAGTACAGTGTCCACACAAAGGCTGTGCAAACTATTCAAATATCAAAATATATCGCTGTACAAAATTTTGTGATACAGTATCGTTAGTATGAGCTGTTGTATTGAAATATCTCCAAGAGTATTTTTCAGGGATGTAAGGATATCCAAATCTCTTGGTACGATATTATCACGATATGCATCTCACTGTACGATATTTATTGTATATATTTATTTTGAAGAGGCTAATATAAATGTAGATAGGACGTTTTTTTGCTTTTAAAATACCTTGACAAGGTTTTCATGTGAATTATTTCTGCCATAATAACAGTTTTTTTTTACTTGAATTCTTATCTCTTCATGTTTTCTGCACTGAAATGAATCATGGGATATGTAGTTTCTGATGGTCATAAGCTGTTGCTACTGTAAAACCATGCATTTAAACAAAGGAACTTGTAATTCGATATATTGTGACAGTCCACGATATTATTGTGAGACTTTTGGCGATATGATATCAAGATATTTCAGTTATTGTTACATCTCTAGTATTTTTGGTATCTTTTTTGTGACGGCAATACATTTTTGTTGCTTATTTAGTGGAAGAAAACTGTTTATGCAATACACTTGTTTTGATGATTAAAATAGATTTTGAGGATAGTATTTCATATTAACTTTGCACAAGTAAATGTTTAACAAAGGAATATTGTTGCTAAAATGTATCTGGTTTCTAAAAACAGCAAGATATAAAATAATATATAAGAGTATCATATGGAATATATCGACTATCTCATGTATTGTGATATTATCGTGTGATGAGCCATGTGTCCTGTATCGTATCGTGAGGGACCCTGTGATTCCCTAGCCTGATTCATCAGCAGGTTTCACTTTGTAGAAACCGTATGACCTCACAATTTGTTCGCTCGACGGTAGGCGGGTACTTTTTATCATTTAACCAATTGCTGCTATTTGGTAGTCACGTATGTAATGCGCCGGGGCTAACTGGTATATTAAGCTTTTCCCAAATCCCATAGGAAAAAGGGTAATAACGTCTTCCCCCTTGATGAAATTCGCCAAACATTCTCTTTATTCTGGCTTTAAATCCTCGATCTCAGGAAGCGTTACTGAATGTGTGGCTCTTCGCTGATTGGCTGGTGCCCAAACTTGCACTTCCGGGGTTTTTGCGAACCGTCTATTGTATTTTCATTCATGACCTAGTTGCTGGAAAGAAATGCAATTGAGCGGAGGCACGAGGTGGCGCCAGCCTGGCTAGTGATTCCCAGCTCTAGTCCAGATCATACAATAGGGTTAGCTCTCCAACTGACACCCAGTGTTTCTCCAAAGCTTACTCGATGCTTTATCACACGCTTATTATTTCAATATACTTAAGATGCCCAA